GGCCAATTTTATTCTCCACACTAAATCAAACGTTCTAGTTTCTGTTTCCGCATAATTAAAATCTTTATTACTTGCCATCTTATAAGTACTGCAACGAAAATGCCTTAAAACTTCCTCTAGGGAATCTAATTATTCTAGCATATTTTTATTATTATTTAACCAGGCTGGCTTTACTGCTGGTCATTTGTACATTTTCTCGAAATACTATGCCTTTACCTCAAATAAGTAGCTGTTTTTCAAAAAGAATATATGTTCATTCATATCTTCCGGTATTTTCACCTCTCCAGGCTGGTACCATATTACAGGAGAACCAGAGATGCGGGTCTCTTGTATGCGGGGGGAGGGTAGTCATGGTGACTAGCTTTGACGAAAGTGCTGTCTGTTGTCGTTTTGAAACGGAAGTCATGACTTTGCCCGCTTTTTCTGAGAAGCCTTGAGGAGCAGGCTGGTTGAGACTTAATTAATTTGCAGAAGTTTGTTCAGCGTACATTCTTGACGTGAATTAAGCTAAGACTGTCGAGATGATGTTGTACCTGCTGTGCGAACACTTGTTGGAGCCAGACAAACACGGAGACTCCCGCTTGCAGCCACGGCGTGTCTCAGCGTGAAGCTCGAGTCTGGCAGCCTCTGAATGCCCTGACTCGAGCCTTGATGGTGTCCTTCGAGGTGGGCTGACCGGCACTGGTCGGATGGCAAAACATCACCTCCAACTCAGTCTGTTTTGCCTCTGATATGTGTTTATAAGAGATGCGTTGAGATTGGGCACATGCCGTTGGGTGTCGACCTCAAAAAAGGTCAGTTGAGCCTGGAATTTCGACACATCTCCATGACCATGCCATATTTATTCGACTAAATGCTCAAGCTAGACCAACAGTGGCCTTGATTGGACAAGGCGTGTTTGGGGCAGTAACGAAAGACATTTTTATTGTGTGTGTGCGCGCACACACACACAACAGCACTTGATAGTTAAGTACAGATACAAATGGGTTAACCTACTTTTCGCAACTTGGTTCTGTTGTCACGGCGACTTATTTGGACGCAAGTTGTCCTAAGTCGTCTGCTATAGTAGTTAACACAGTTGCCAGACGCTTTGCCGGCATCGTCACTGGGCCTTGTCGTTCTCAGCGCCAAGCTACAACTCGTCAAAGAGACAAGTGGCGAAATAGAAATCCCTTTGTCGAGTCATCGTTTGGTGCTGGGAGTGGTCTGACTCACTGATGCTGCCGACAACGATGCCGGCGAAACGTGTGAGAATGTACCAATTACACGGTCCGATGCTGGGAATCATGATAGCCACAATAGCAGCAAACTTCCTACAAGGAGCGTCCAACTAAGTTGCCTTGGCAACACGACCAAGTTGCCCACTTAGACCTATCGAAAGGAGACTGCGAGCATACTAAAATTCACACCATCTTAGTCTTCATATCTTCGATGTAAAGATTGTTAGGGCTGCACAATAAACTGAGCATAAACGCACACGTCGTCTGTGAAGTTAATTTGGCTCTGTCTCAGAAAACGCAGCCAAAACGGGTTCCTACATCATCTTTAGAAGCCTAATAAGACGAAAATTATTGCCAATTAAAGTGAAGAAACATTAAAGTCGGAGCTCTCCAGCCTTCCAACCTTTCGTATTTTTAATCTTTTTGCTTTTAACTGACCATTCAAATCGGCCAAGCGCGCGAATGCACTTCAGGCCGCATTCATTCCATTGGAAGATTGGGAAGAAGCCTCGATTGCCTCTGGCATTTTGTCCTTCCGCACTATGACGTTGCTCGTTGATAAGAAAGAAAATACGCCTTAATGGGCTGCAA